CATGTTCGTTTTCGTTGAAACTTTCAGGACTACATAATGACTATTAAATCTATCTATAGATATAATTTCAGCTCGAAATTCTTCATTTTTGTTTTTCCCGAAATGCCTGGCTCACAGTAAAAATTTCAGTAAAACGGTCATAACTCTCAACTACAAGGCTATGGGCACGAATCCCTTTAGGCTTTTTCTTATTCCAATATACTCTATCAAATGAGGTATAAATGAATCAAAACAGAGCGGATCACTTGGGAATGTTCCCTTGTTAGATTGAGATCGACTCATGTCGTGTATATTCTACTGAAAATAATGATGGTTTTTTCTTTCAAGATTGAGAATATATATTTAGTTATTTTAAAAGAATTTACAACTAAATTTAGACTAGGAATAACTACGACATTGGCATTTCGAATGCGTGGTTCAACAAAACTATTTGTAGCTACCTGATTGAGATAAGATTATGTCTGAATCATCACTTCAGTACATGTTAACAGACTAAGAGGGAGTTGGTGCTTGGGATTCGAGTTAATTGTCGCATGTGTAAGCCCCCCAAAACTATTAGCTCAATATTATAAAGTATAGTAGCACTTTATGATAGAAATTCCTATGAAAATTTATCCATTTCTCCTGAATCATCCAAAGTATATTAATTCTATTTACAGTCCACAGATGTGAATCAAACTTGCAGTTTAATCATTGAAAAACATAAGAATAATATATAAATTTCGTACAGCAACTGAACTTTTTTCTTCACATAAATATTATTATTATTATTATTTTTTTAGATTTCCTGATGCAGTTGAATATATTCACATTAGTGACCAATATACCGGTATGAAAGGTCAAAATGGTGATCAACAATCATCATCAGCACCTCAAACAAATACCGGTACTGCAGCACAACAGCAAGATGCACTTAATACAAGTGAACGTTCTATTCGTCGTGTATTAATTATTGCTTTTAATTTAATGCCACATAATGGTCGTTCACTTCAAGTAACATGTGAAAGTTTAAGTAGTGATTATTTACGATTTGTATTGCATGTAATTGATCGTGTTGGTTCATTTCGTTTAACATCAAAAGAATCAAAAATGAAAGCAATTAAAAATCGTCAACGTATTGAAGAACAATTTTTAAAAGGTGTTAATCTACAACGACAAGAACAAGCACAACAACGACGTGAAGAGCAACGTCGTGTTGAAAAAGAAAAAATCATGCAATCAGATGATCCTGAATTACAACGTAAATGGGAAGAAAAAGAACATAAACGTGAAATGAAACGACGACAACCAAAAATGAAACAAATGAAAGTAAAAGCCATGTAAAAGAACTTAATGCAAATGAACTTCCGTTACTTGTTGTTTTGTTTTTTCTGTTTTGCTTTCTTTTTTTTTGGCTATATTTTATCATGTAAAACAATCATCGAACTTAAATAACATCTTTAAATCCCTTTTTAGATGTCATTTTTAACTGGTACTCATCGATTTCTTGATCCAAAATGTAATGAGATATTAGATCAGTTTTATGAATGTATTGAAAAGAAAAGTCGAGCTATAGGAGCTTGTGATGGTTTATTGGCTCAATTGTATCGATGTAAAAAAGAAGATGTAAGCTTTATATTTCACATATTAAATAAATCTATTGGATATTTCTCCTTTATTTCAATGTAAAAGTCTATTTTGTGAAACACATACAACAAGGAATATTGAAGTATATAGGATAGAGAAACGAGAAGGTCGATAATTGTTGAAAATGGTCTTCTTGAAAAATTTCATTGCTTCAATATTAAACTATAGCACAAGTTGTCAGAAAAAAGGTTCTGGTAGAATTAGTCATATAGTACTTATTGACGCTATGCACAGATCAATTGCTATAGTGAATGATCATCAAATGTATATCGAACACGACTGTTGATAATAAACAGCACTTTTCGAATGGTTTAAACTGACAGAAAAACATTGAGGAGAAAACATTGATTGGTATATGATTTGACAGTAATTTTTGAGTGCTTCAATGAAGCGAACTTGAGGTTTGTACCTCTTCTTAGTGACGAAGTTATAGAGATTCTTCCAAAGGCCATAAATGAGACGGTATTTCACTATAGTTTGGCATCGTTCTAAATGGAAAATCTATTGTGAGAAATCTCCTTAAGTAAAATGATGACAAAAGGAATGTGTCCGAAAATATATAGAATAAAACAATCTTCCTGTGATTAGCAACAGCAACTACTTCGTGTTGCATATTTTAACTGTACAGGAATTGCGCTAACAACTTTTAAGAATAATGTTGGATTTATTGTATCCGATCGTTCTTTCTTCTTTAGCTTGAAGCTCATCGACAATTGAATAAAACTGAAACTGAACGGAAAAAACGTGAACGAACAATAGCACGTGATCCAATTATCCAAAAGAAACTTGAAATTTTTAAAAGATTACAAGATAAACAAAAAGCCGAATCAACAACTTCATCATCATAGGCTTCTTTGATGTAGATTTCTTTTTGTTTTGTTTTACGGTAGAAAAAAATAGTCCAGTACAACTGATGAACATCCTTAACATTTAGTATAATTTTTTTTTTGTTAAAATGAATTTTCTTTAAAATTAACTTTTGTATGAATTTAATTTGCATCAAGATGAAAAGTGTCTACAATGATATATTAAACATAGTAGGAAAGTTTTCACGGAATTTAGAAATTACATCAAGTTTCTATGATGTTGATAATTTAATTAAGTTTGATCTATGAATTTCAATTACAACAATCGTTAAGAAAATCTTCATAGTTAACCAAAGAATTTCTTCTATTATACAATGTACGCCAATTGATTTGCCCACTCATTCTTTTTTATCGTTTTTATAACTAAGCTTCTTTCGTTTTTCAATATCCTATATATATAGGGAGAAAACTTCACCTTTCTCTGGGCAAAGTTTCAAGTTGAAATTCGAAAATTGATTTTCCAGGTGAATCTGAGGGAAACTACGGCTTTTTGCTAAAAATTAAATATCTCGACAGAAATAAGCTATAAGCATGAGCTCTTTTCAGGATATACATAGCTCATTGGAGCCTACATAATGCGTATAGCCTCGATACAAAAGCAATTTTGCAACTGGAAATTGCTCCTGATCCTCTTTTTCTGTCCGCTGTGGGGGAAGCTTCGCGAATATCCTCCTATTCTTCCTCAGTGCTGAATCCTTGAATGTCCTCGACTATTTTAGTACCCGTGACCGTGATTCACGCCGGGCACTAGTCCAGTGAAGCATAACAGTTGATAACCATTGCAGTGTATGTTAAAATAAATTTTTATTTTTTCGAAGCAAGTAGAACAGTATCATCAAATATTTATCGTTTAGTACTTGAATTTGATGAAGATGATAATGATATGCAATTAGATTTTTGCATGTTAGTTGAACAAACTATTCCATTAGAATTTCAGCAATGAGTATGCAAATGAGCAATAAAACTTCTGATATTGTTGAATCGCTTTTACATCAAATCATTAGTAAGACTGACTACTATTTCGAAGTTTAAAGAGAAAACCTGATGGTTCTTTTCAGAGGGATGAATTTATTTTGTAGAAAGACATTTTACATACCCATTATTTTAATTAACTATATACGTTTATCATTATTTGTGTACTCCACTATAATTCTAGGTGTCTTACGAAAGATAGATTGCAATATACCGATTGAGCCAAAAGTTTTTCAATATTTTTTGTTTTGCATGTATCTCCGCTCAGGTACATGATAGAAGGCTGATTTTTTTTCAAAAGATGCCCCATTTAATGCTCTATCAGAATTACAAAACCAAATATTTTTTACCTTTTTTTGACATATTAATAAATTAATAAAAGTGAAGATGTCTATTGTCGCATCTTGTCTTATTATAAGAAATCTGGAAAATCGAGAAATTAGGAGTTTGAAGTATTGATAATTAAGACTATTGCCCTCTATGCCACACTATATAAGAACAGCAAATTTATTAGTACAAAAAAAAACAGAAAATTTATCAAGTTGTAAATATTTGATCAGTATTATGTGGTTATTTCTGTTTGACACCTTTTTCGATTTATAAATTGAATACATTCTCTCTT